CGTCTGGCCCTCTTTCTGCTGGGCTTCTCAGGCAGTGGCTCTCCACTGATGTCCACATGGACTCGAGGAGCCATGCTGTCTGGTCTGGATCCACATCTGCGTTCTGTAATGAGGATTCGTCCATCAGCCTGCACCGTCTCCTCCATCACAGGACACCTGATTGCCTCCCACAGCCGCTGCTTGATCTCCAGGCCCAGCTGAAGGCTGTAGGGACGACTCTTGATCATGGGCTCGACCACAGAGCGGTAGATGTCCTGGTAGGCCTGAACGCTGTAGCCATGGATAGAGAGTGGCTCCTCCTGCTGTCCCACGTCCACTGAAGGCACTGAGGATGCTGGACGGATTTGGGGAAGGACAGCTGCGTTCTTCAGGTGATGCTCCTTCAGACCTGGGGAAGAGATACAGCTGTAAGTATGATCCAACCTGATCACAGCTGCAGGATCCTGAACAGACGGGACACCCTCCAGCAGGAAGTCCTTCAGGTGTGCTGGAAGACTCCTGATTCGTCTGAGGCGCCGCTGCTCCATGAATATCAACTTTCCAAATCAGACAATCTGATGAAACTTGTCAAAGTGAAGAGTTGAAAGAGCTCAAGTGATCAGATTCAGAGAGATGTGTTGATTTCAGTGTAAACTCAGGTTGCCGTGGTGACAGAATATTGGAGTCATTTAAATGTAAACAACACTTGATCAGCAGAAAGTCAATCAGAGCAGTAGAGGAGTTCTTCTCTATTGCTTCTCTATTACACATTGTGTCATTTTTACATTATAAATAAGTAAATAAAGTGTGAACTAAACAAAATGTGTAATACAGAAACATTAACACTTTCAGTTAAATTTGATTAAAATCAGTTGGGGTAAGCAGATATCCTGATAATTATTATTATAATTTTTATCATAACCAGGTCTAGATCCCAAAACAATAATAAAAACGAAAACATACATAAAATTTTGTCTTTTATTTATTTATTTATTTTCATAATCAATTTTTATCAAATTTTGTTGCTATCAAACTTTATTTAACCAAATTTCAAATACGTTTTTTTAATCTGATCATACTTTTGCATTAATTATTTAAATATTAGATTATATAAATCAAAATTACAGAGTAAATAAAATGATTGTGGACACTGACAATTAAATATTGACTCAACAAATGACTTCACAATAATAAGCCCCAAACGAAAAAAAATCCACATTATTAATTTTAGCTGTTGGTCTGAAGTAAAAATGAAAAATATTCATTCACCAAACAGAAAACTGCGTTGGCAATTTATCAAAGAGCAGTGAAAATTGTGTTTGTGTTTGGCGAACAAACCTTGCAGCAAAAGCGCGTGTACGCATGCGCGTGAGAGTCGTTTGTTGTGATAAGGTTTAAATTTCAGCGCTGCAATCGTAGAGCTCCTCCGAAACATCATATTCAGGCGATTTTCCTTCATCAAAGTTATGGTGAGTAGTGAATTCTGTATGTATTCAATCGTTTTTAAGTTTAGCCAAATCAAGTCTCAGTAATTCCTGACATAAAACGAAAAGCATGGGTATTACGTTAGCCTGCCGCTGCGTCATAATGTTGTACACCAGTGGTTCTCAAACCTTTTTCAACAAAAGTACCACCTTAGAAAAAATTGTCTCTCCAAGTAGGCCTAATTAAGCTGTGCACAGTTTAAAAACGAGGCAGATTAATTCCTATCATTAAGAATATGTATTATTGTCAGTCACTTTAAATATTTTAAAAACTCTGAACATTAACTGTGCTTGCAGATAAAAAAAAAACTTGTTTTAATTGAAATATGCTTTTAAAAGTTCAATAAAAAATTGGATTGTTCTTAAAAAGTAAAAAGAAAACTGCTGTACTTAAATCTAAAGTATTCATAGTAGCCTATTCATCAAAAGCTGGAAATGTTGCTTGAACCACATAAATATTGGCTATATGTCATATTCATACACAATCTGACAAATCTTGATTTCTGACAAATATATGTTAAATGTACTTATCATACAGGCACAGCCCAATGAAAATCAAGGAATTTTAAGCACTTTTTCCAGCACCTATTTGTTTTTTATTTTCAAGAATAACATGCTATGTATTGAAGACCTGAAATGTATTCTCAGCAGCCCATAAAACATTGCATAGTAATTGATACAAACAAAAAGCATTCATAATAATAATAATAATAATAATAATATTTATTAATCATATATTAATAATATAATAATCCTGCACTAAATGCTTGTGAAATCTTTATTGTACTCAAGTAAAAATACTATTGCACTGCTAAAATAACATAAATTTTAGTAAATAATACTAATATTAGGTAAAAGTACAAAGTTCTCTTTAATTCAAAGTAATTTTTCCAATTAAAATTAAATTTTTTAACCCAGCGGTTTGGTTTGTCCATGTTTGACCCAACATTGTGTTCATTTTTCCCATTAAATTAAAATGAAAAATTTTAACCAAGCAGTTTGTTTTGTCTGTATTTGACCACATGTTGGGTTAGTTTTTCCAATTAAATTTAAATGATACGTTTTAACTAAGTGGTTTGGTTGGTCCATATTTGATCAAATGTTGGGCTAATTTTCCAGTTGAATTTAAATGGCACTTTTTAACCCATTTTAAAAAGTATACTAGTTGGTTACTTTTGAAAAAAAAAATCTGATTTTCATTATGAAATCACTTTTTTTAAGTGTAAACCTGATTGAATGGTTTAATTGCTTAAATCTTAAAGCTACATGTAAAGGAATTTGCACTAACAAAGGAAGTATGGTCGATTTTTCCTTTCATGACAATTAATCTTTTTCAATAGCACTAGTAAAACTACCACATAATCTTTAAGGCCATAGAGACACTTTTTTTTGCCCATTTTTAAACAATATTTTCAAGCTTTGAAAGGATTAATTAAAGTATATGATGAAAAGATTTAAATTTGGCCTTTTATTTACATATTTTACACTATTTTTCTTTACAATATGGCAATTTTGTTTTTTAAAAAGCTGTACATCACATGGAGATTTTATTTTACACTTGATCTTAAACTAAAATACAAACTTTACAAAAAATACAAGTACACTGTCAGTAAAAAAAAAAAAATTAAACAAATGACTTCATTTTACTTGAGGTATTTGAAATATGACAACAATACACTTATCAAAGCAGTGCTTTAAGAGCCTTATTGTTAATTTGGACAAATTAACAATAAGTAACAACGGATTGCTTTGACCTGTAATGCTTTAAGTCAGCTAATACAGCTAAATGTGTAAATCACACAAATACCTCATCCAGAAACATTTCCAGCATAATTCTTTTGTCGTATAGAAATAAAAAAGTTCCACCTTTGCTAAAAGTAAGTTTTACGTCACAATACAGTCAAATGAGAAGACCATTGTCACCGATCATGCATCAATCTATTTCTAAATACTTGATAACTTTGAATACTTTTGACTAAATTTAGTAAAGGAGCAAAGATAAATAATGTCTACTTTAATAGTGAACAGATCGCGATTGTGTTCAATCTGAGCACACAGACGATCATGAGAGCACTTGCAGTTTATTTTAAAAAAGCCTATTTAAGAGCTCGCATATCTGTTTTAGTGATTTGCGTACATTAATGCGCTCTCCTGTTAAAATAAAGCACTCGCCACATTTGCAGAAATTAGTTATTGCGCAATTCCTCCATTCCCGCGCCGCCATTCATACTGTGTTTAGAGGAGTGACAGGTCAGAGGCGAGTCGACTCGCTGTGGGAGAGCGAAACATGTATGTGTAGATCATCAAATAGGCAGGAAAAATGTCCACGGTATAATTACTCTGCTAGACATCTTTATAGTGAAAACATCCGAGAAGCATTATTCCAACAAAACATTTGTAATTAAGTTGTTTTTTTCTGTCTCTGCAGCTCAGAATGCCTTTGTCCCGCCCTTACGTTTCACGCAAAACTTGACAAGGTCGACTGTGATTGGCCACTTTTCATGTCAGTCAAATCACGCATCAGACTCAATTCTTAAGCTTCGGAGACTGATTTTTAACAGTTTATGACACATTGCACTAAAATAAACACTATAAGCACAGCGCTGTGATCGTACGCTTCACAAAACAGTCAATGCTGATCACATCGATGTTATAATACACATCAAAGGATTAAAAGTGTTAATTGTTTATTTCATTATTTGGCGATTCCTCCGCGTACCACAGTTTGAGAACCACTGTTGTATACAACACGTTAACGTTAATTACAGACATTGCTCTGGCTAGTTATATGTTACCGGTTGTCAGTTCTACTGTAGCCATATTTATTTTCTATAAAACAAAATATTATGTAAAACACAAGCCTGCCTTATTGATTTCAACTTGAAAGTATTAAACATTGATTTGGAGTTGTTCTTAAAGGGACAGTTCACCCCCAAATCAAATTGTACTATTTACTCAGGCACATGTGTTTTCAAACTTTTGTAAGTTTCTTTCTTCTGTTGAACACTAAATGCCATATTAAGAAAAAAGCTGAAACCTGAAACCATTTATTTCAATAGTAGGAAAAACAAATACTATGGAAGTCAATGGTTACAGGTTTCCAGCTTTCTTTAAAATATTTTCTTTACAGAAGATAGAAAGAAAAACTGGTTTGGAATAAAGGAAGGGAGAGTAAATTACGGCAGAATTTTCAGTTTTGTGTGAAAGAAAACCTGTTTTTTGTCTTCTGCTGTTATTTACTCACTGTTAATGATATTTAGAATCATTGTTGGAAACAAACCGGTGCCTGGCCAAAGTGACATTTTACATATAAATGTGCAATTTACCACATAGCATTTTCACAGTATGGAAAGTATTAATTGCTATAGTGTTACTATGCTAATAAATATGTGAACATCCACATTCTGTCATTGTAAAATTACATTTGTGATCCAACAGGAATAGTGTTTTTGAAAATGACACAGTATTATGGTGACATTTGAATATGTATTTGATATAGGCTTAATATTGACATTGCCGTTTTATATTTCTAACATACAGGGCCATTGGAAAACCACACAGCTACAATGAAGATGGGAATCCTTGAAACAGTTAGCATCAGGAGCATGATGAAGTTTAAGAGCCCTGTCAACTGTGCTGAATGTCTGCTGTCCTGGAAGAGGAGATGGTGCTCGACAATAGGACGCTTTATCAGTGCATCGTTTGTGCTTTTGGATTATAGTATCTACTCAACCTGGAATACAATGACTAAATAGGTTTACATGGTAAATATTTGAAAACAGATGCAGCTTTATGTGCTTGAAGTTCCTCTTGAAGATTTTTTTTTACTTTTCTTGAAACTTTTATAAGTTTTTTTTTTGTTCTGGAATCATCTGTGTCAACTGGGTAAAGTAACCCATTGTTTAGATTTGATGGTGCTTTTGACAATTTTAATATTCATTAATTAATTTTCCTTCTGCTTAGTCCCCTGTTTATGAGGGGGAGCCACAGCGGAATGAACCGTTCATTGTTTATATGCAAATATATTAGATGTTTAATGTTAATGAATGGGTTTAACCATTAAAAATGTGATTTCATAAGTTCAGATTATCTTTTGTAGAATGAAAGTATTCAGTTTTTTTTTTTTACATTTTTGCAGATATTTGAGATATATATTAAGTACACTTCAGCTCTATGTATTGACCTTATTCCTCACGTACGAGCAGGCGCAGCCATTTGAATCTTTTTGGCTGGAGATTTCCGCTCTCATTCACTTCCTTTGATTTTTAGACGTTAAAAACTGTTTGTTTTGATGCTTGATGTTGCAATCTGATATTTTCTTAATATATTATTCTGCTTTGTCTATAGAGTCATAAACACACTAGTTTGTAGAGCAAGTAGTTTGTCTGTTTTCCGCTGTTTAATATTCCTAGTCATTTCTCCCATAGGGCACTGAATCAGATGTTCGAAAACAAATCGGAAAAACTTCCGCCTTAAAGAATGAGGTCAATATTAGGAGAAATTAAATGCTAGAATTTATACGGTATACTTTGTTGAAATGTGTAATGTATTTGTTATTCTAAAGTACTTTTACAATAGTGTCTCTTTAATAAAAATAAATAAATAAATGTGGCAGTGTTTAGTGTATTATGATTTTGTTTATTCTATTATTAATTTTCTTTTGGGACAACGAGGAATAAACAATTCAGTAAAGTTGCTTTAGCATTGTTTACCAATATACAATTAACCAATATACATTTTTAAATTAGGTGAAACCAAAAAAGCTTGTTGCACACAATCTAAAACATTCAATTGGGCCAATAACATGATTGGGCAGACTTGATGGTTTTTTTTATTGGTTCAACACATTATTTCTCATTGAGCCAATGTTGACAGGCTGTTGCCACAGTTGAATTTAGATGTGACCAGTCACTAGAAAATGTAGTTTGGGGAGTAAATTATATTTAAATTTATTTAAATAAATATTATATTGATTCATTTTTTACAGCGTATAAATAATTAGAATTTATATTTATAACATAATTGTAAATATTATTCTATCAAAAAATTGAATAAATTATTTAAACATTTGTTTTATTTATTGTTTTTTATCATTATAATTTTTATTATTATTATGGCTTATTTTATTATAGTTTTATTATAGTTTTAATAGTGCAATTAGTGGTGGATTGTTTTGAAAATCAGGTTAAAAGGGTAAAAATAATTCCAGAATTGTTACTTTTATTTATTAATTAGACCTTGATAAAAAATCAACATAATAGAGGAAAAGAAAAGAATTGCAGCCTCTTTTATGTGTATTAAATAACAAATTTATTAATTGATTGATTTATTTAGAATGGTTGCTTCCACGAATCCTGCGACTTCCACATCTTCAGGTGATTCTGATGTAAATCTGCTGTCCAGAATCAGCTGGTTTGTCTTAGTCGGGCATCTCTGCTGAGACCAGTCCACTATGGGTGACCCTACCGGTATCTGTGAAGTACCAGTGGCGAAGCTCTCAGCATCACTGATGCACACAAGCCCTCACAGCACGTCAAGCTGCAAACCACGTGAGGGACCCTAACCTAACCTACCCTAACCTAACAGACACTGCAAACCACTAAACGCATCGAAACTCTCAGAAGAGTCCAGCGAGCGACCAGCAACACGAGAACAACCGCTCAGAAAACCTCGACAACCGTGCAGAAAACCACCTGAAACATCCTGAAGACCACCGAGCAAACCAAGAACTTCAAGTCAACAACACCAAGAATCAATAAAAACAACCAGTTGATGAAACAAAACATGCAAAAGGAAACTTACTGTGAACTTGCTCTACAACTATGTACACTATATACATACGCAGGCCTGCAGTGTGGTTGGGACACTGTGAAGACTCAGCGTCTGGCCCTCTTTCTGCTGGGCTTCTCAGGCAGTGGCTCTCCACTGATGTCCACATGGACTCGAGGAGCCATGCTGTCTGGTCTGGATCCACATCTGCGTTCTGTAATGAGGATTCGTCCATCAGCCTGCACTGTCTCCTCCATCACAGGACACCTGAGCGCCTCCCACAGCCGCTGCTTGATCTCCAGGCCCAGCTGAAGGCTGTAGGGACGACTCTTGATCATGGGCTCGACCACAGAGCGGTAGATGTCCTGGTAGGCCTGAACGCTGTAGCCATGGATAGAGAGTGGCTCCTCCTGCTGTCCCACGTCCACTGAAGGCACTGAGGATGCTGGACGGATTTGGGGAAGGACAGCTGCGTTCTTCAGGTGATGCTCCTTCAGACCTGGGGAAGAGATACAGCTGTAAGTATGATCCAACCTGATCACAGCTGCAGGATCCTGAACAGACGGGACACCCTCCAGCAGGAAGTCCTTCAGGTGTGCTGGAAGACTCCTGATTCGTCTGAGGCGCCGCTGCTCCATGAATATCAACTTTCCAAATCAGACAATCTGATGAAACTTGTCAAAGTGAAGAGTTGAAAGAGCTCAAGTGATCAGATTCAGAGAGATGTGTTGATTTCAGTGTAAACTCAGGTTGCCGTGGTGACAGAATATTGGAGTCATTTAAATGTAAACAACACTTGATCAGCAGAAAGTCAATCAGAGCAGTAGAGGAGTTCTTCTCTATTGCTTCTCTATTACACATTGTGTCATTTTTACATTATAAATAAGTAAATAAAGTGTGAACTAAACAAAATGTGTAATACAGAAACATTAACACTTTCAGTTAAATTTGATTAAAATCAGTTGGGGTAAGCAGATATCCTGATAATTATTATTATTTTTTTTTTATCATAACCAGCTCTAGATCCCAAAACAATAATAAAAACGAAAACATACATCAAATTTTGTCTTTTATTTATTTATTTATTTTCATAATCAATTTTTATCAAATTTTGTTGCAATCAAACTTTATTTAACCAAATTTCAAATACGTTTTTTTAATCTGATCATACTTTTGCATTAATTATTTAAATATTAGATTATATAAATCAAAATTACAGAGTAAATAAAATGATTGTGGACGCTGACAATTAAATATTGACTCAACAAATGACTTCACAATAATAAGCCCCAAACGAAAAAAAATCCACATTATTAATTTTAGCTGTTGGTCTGAAGTAAAAATGAAAAATATTCATTCACCAAACATAAAACTGCGTTGGTAATTTATCAAAGAGCAGTGAAAATTGTGTTTGTGTTTGGCGAACAAACCTTGCAGCAAAAGCGCGTGTACGCATGCGCGTGAGAGTCGTTTGTTGTGATAAGGTTTAAATTTCAGCGCTGCAATCGTAGAGCTCCTCCGAAACATCATATTCAGGCGATTTTCCTTCATCAAAGTTATGGTGAGTAGTGAATTCTGTATGTATTCAATCGTTTTTAAGTTTAGCCAAATCAAGTCTCAGTAATTCCTGACATAAAACGAAAAGCATGGGTATTACGTTAGCCTGCCGCTGCGTCATAATGTTGTACACCAGTGGTTCTCAAACCTTTTTCAACAAAAGTACCACCTTAGAAAAAATTGTCTCTCCAAGTAGGCCTAATTAAGCTGTGCACAGTTTAAAAACGAGGCAGATTAATTCCTATCATTAAGAATATGTATTATTGTCAGTCACTTTAAATATTTTAAATAGTCTGAACATTAACTGTGCTTGCAGATAAAAAAAAAAACTTGTTTTAATTGAAATATGCTTTTAAAAGTTCAATAAAAAATTGGATTGTTCTTAAAAAGTAAAAATAAAACTGCTGTACTTAAATCTAAAGTATTTATAGTAGCCTATTCATCAAAAGCTGGAAATGTTGCTTGGACCACATAAATATTGGCTATATGTCATATTCATACACAATCTGACAAATCTTGATTTCTGACAAATATATGTTAAATGTACTTATCATACAGGCACAGCCCAATGAAAATCAAGGAATTTTAAGCACTTTTACCAGCACCTATTTGTTTTTTATTTTCAAGAATAACATGCTATGTATTGAAGACCTGAAATGTATTCTCAGCAGCCCATAAAACATTGCATAGTAATTGATACAAATAAAAAGCATTAATAATAATAATAATAATATTTATTAATCATATATTGATAATATAATAATCCTGCACTAAATGCTTGTGAAATCTTTATTGTACTCAAGTAAAAATACTATTGCACTGCTAAAATAACATAAATTTTAGTAAATAATACTAATATTAGGTAAAAGTACAAAGTTCTCTTTAATTCAAAGTAATTTTTCCAATTAAAATTAAATTTTTTAACCCAGCGGTTTGGTTTGTCCATGTTTGACCCAACATTGTGTTCATTTTTCCCATTAAATTAAAATGAAAAATTTTAACCCAGCAGTTTGTTTTGTCTGTATTTGACCACATGTTGGGTTAGTTTTTCCAATTAAATTTAAATGATACGTTTTAACTAAGTGGTTTGGTTGGTCCATATTTGATCAAATGTTGGGCTAATTTTCCAGTTGAATTTAAATGGCACTTTTTAACCCATTTTAAAAAGTATACTAGTTGGTTACTTTTGAAAAAAAAAATCTGATTTTCATTATGAAATCACTTTTTTTAAGTGTAAACCTGATTGAATGGTTTAATTGCTTAAATCTTAAAGCTACATGTAAAGGAATTTGCACTAACAAAGGAAGTATGGTCGATTTTTCCTTTCATGACAATTAATCTTTTTCAATAGCACTAGTAAAACTACCACATAATCTTTAAGGCCATAGAGACACTTTTTTTGGCCATTTTTTAACAATATTTTCAAGCTTTGAAAAAATTAATTAAAGTATATGATGAAAAGATTTAAATTTGGCCTTTTATTTACATATTTTACACTATTTTTCTTTACAATATGGCAATTTTGTTTTTTAAAAAGCTGTACATCACATGGAGATTTTATTTTACACTTGATCTTAAACTAAAATACAAACTTTACAAAAAATACAAGTACACTGTCAGTAAAAAAAAAAAAATTAAACAAATGACTTCATTTTACTTGAGGTATTTGAAATATGACAACAATACACTTATCAAAGCAGTGCTTTAAGAGCCTTATTGTTAATTTGGACAAATTAACAATAAGTAACAACGGATTGCTTTGACCTGTAATGCTTTAAGTCAGCTAATACAGCTAAATGTGTAAATCACACAAATACCTCATCCAGAAACATTTCCAGCATAATTCTTTTGTCGTATAGAAATAAAAAAGTTCCACCTTTGCTAAAAGTAAGTTTTACGTCACAATACAGTCAAATGAGAAGACCATTGTCACCGATCATGCATCAATCTATTTCTAAATACTTGATAACTTTGAATACTTTTGACTAAATTTAGTAAAGGAGCAAAGATAAATAATGTCTACTTTAATAGTGAACAGATCGCGATTGTGTTCAATCTAAGCACACACGCGATCATGAGAGCACTTGCAGTTTATTTTAAAAAAGCCTATTTAAGAGCTCGCATATCTGTTTTAGTGATTTGCGTACATTAATGCGCTCTCGTGTTAAAATAAAGCACTCGCCACATTTGCAGAAATTAGTTATTGCGCAATTCCTCCATTCCCGCGCCGCCATTCATACTGTGTTTAGAGGAGTGACAGGTCAGAGGCGAGTCGACTCGCT